GTGTCACATCTTGGGCTTAGAAGTTGAACCTTAGTTTAATCCATCCTCCTCTGTTTATGGGCCATGCCCTTTTGACCAAATAAACTTTCTCTGCTGCAATTTCCTAGTCTGGAAGCTGAGAATAATAATAGCATCTAATTCTGAAGTGCTTGTGAGCATTAAATGAGATGATACCCATTTATAATTAATTAAAAAATAAAATTTTGCAAAGTAATCTTTAAAGGATAGCTATTGTGGCTGTTGTTATTGTTACTAATGTCGTCATGTTCTTTATCACCCTGCCTTTAAAGAAATGCCGATATAATGAGAACACATGGACACAGAAAGGGGAGTACTAAACACTGGGGTCTATTGGGGGGAAAAGGGGAGGGCCAGTGGGAGGGGGAGGTGGGGAGGGATAGCCTGGGGAGAAATGCCAAATGTGGGTGAAGGGGAGAAGGAAAGCAAAGCACACTGCCATGTGTGAACCTACGCAACTGTCTTGCATGCTCTGCTCATGTACCCCAAAACCTAAAATCCAATAAAAAAATTAAAAAAAAAAAAAAAAAAAAGAACTGCTGATATATTGGCCAACATGATTATTCCTGCCATTATAATATATAGCAATAAAGAGAGGGTGCCCCATATGTTATTGTAATATATCTGCCTTGTGTCTTCAGTTTGCAACTGTTTCTCTGTATTAGCATTGTCCCTATTTATGCTATTATTATGTCATTGTGTAATGTGGACAGTGTACAGATGTAGTTCTTTTATTAGTGCCCAGTCTTACCTTATTCCACAGTGTATTACTAAGGTGCTCAGCCTCACCAGAGAACTTGTGTTGTTTCAGCCATAATCTAGACACAGGGTAGTAACTTCTTGGTTAAACTGAACATGGTGGCTCTTAGCACAAAGTAATGGTAAAGTTAATTCCCTACTGAATTTTTTTGAAAATTTTCCAAATGTTGATAGAAAAAAAACATAGACATGTTTTTTGAATAGTATATGCCGGTAATTTTGTTTTTGTTTTTTGTTTTGGGGGGAGTTTTCAGCCTCTACTACAGAAAACTTGGGGCTGGGATAGGCTAATACAGTCGTATTGTGTTAGCTGCTGTACAGCAAGTAAAAGCTATAGCTTCTTTTTTTCTTTTTCTTTGAGACAGAGTTTTGTTCTTGTTGCCCAGGCTGGAGTGCAGTGGTGCGATCTTGGCTCACTGCAACCTCTGCCTCTTAGGTCAGGTGGTTCTCCTGCATCAGCCTCCCAAGTAGCTGGAATTACAGCGCTCGCCACCACACAGCTAACTTTTGTATTTTTTAGTAGAGATGAGGTTTCACCGTGTTGGCCACTCCTGACCTCAGGTGATCTACCTGCTTCGGCCTCCCAAAGTGCTGGGATTACAGGTGGGAGCCACCACTCCCAGATCAAACCTATAGCTTCTTAAGAATAAGGAGGATAAATGTAGCCCAATGGGTGCCCCTTGTCAGCCTGAATTGAGGATGGTCTTTTGGCACCGGGTAGTGGGAGAGAGTACAGGAGAGTCCCTGACTGGTAAACTAGCTCTTTCATAGGTGGACGTGGTCTTCTCGCCAACAGGGTAATAGTTGAGTTTGCATACATTAGGTGTCCATCAGTCTTTGAGTGAAATAAAATTGTGGGCTAATCATCCCTTTTACGTGTGGGAGAGTGAATCTTTTAAAGTACAACTTTCGATCATTGTTTAATTATTAACCTCCAGCGTTTGCTAGATTAGTTTTGTGATCCTGCGATAGTCAGTAAATGTTGAAGGTGGGAGCATATACATTTTCTGCTTAATTTTACATCTGCTTTGTTAGTATTAATAATAAGATGGTATATGCTTGAAGGGAAAAATCTGAATCTTACTATCTAACAAAAATGCAAGCAAACCATGAATACAGGCCACATAGATCATATTAAATTGTCTAGTAGCCACAATAAAATATTTTTAAAACATGAAATTAATTTTTATAATTTTTATCTAGTATGTCCAACATATTTCTAATATCTAATCCATATGAAACTTACTAATGATGTAGTTGACATTCTATTTTACTAGTCTTTGAAGTCCATTGTGTAAATCGCATTTACAGTGCATTTACAATTTGCACTAGTCACATTTCAAATGCTTGGAGGCCACATGTGGCTATAGTATTGGACAGTACTGGTCTAAATAATGTGTCTTCTTGCAGGTCCGGTAACCCCATTCCACCTGAGGTCTAGAATGTACTCAATAAACACGTTCCTTGTTTCTTTTACCCAGTTAACTGGGATTTTGCCCTTAGCTTTAAGCATTTCTGTATACAATTACAATAGCTTCATCACAAACTAATTATACATGGTGTAATATACATTTGAGTTTTGGGTTTAAAAATCCATATCTCTACTTCTGTGCAAGTGCATTAACCATGTGGACTTTTTTTTTTTTTTTTTGAGATGGAGGTTTTCTCTTATTGGCCAGGCTGGAGTGCAATGGTGCGATCTCAGCTCACTGCAACCTCTGCCTCCCAGGTTCAAGTGATTTTCCCACCTCACCCTCCGTAGTAGCTGGGATTACAGGTGCCCATCATCACGCCAAGCTAATTTATTGCATTTTTAGTAGAGATAGGGTTTCACTGTGTTGGCCAGGCTGGTCTCGAACTCCTGACCTCAGGTGATCCACGTGCCTTAGCATCCCAAAGTGCTGGCATTACAGGCATGAGCCACTGTGTCCAGCTTTGACTTTTTATTTAAAAACAAACAAACAAACAGAATAATTTTGTAGGCTGGGGTTGTATGGTCCATATTTCTGTGTCACCTGTATACTTGGCTCCTAGTTGAGATTCAGTGCATATGACATGAGTAAGAAATGATAGGTTTTTCCTAAATTGTAAGTTCTTGAGTAGCCTTGATGCTATTACTGTGTAAAACTCTTGCATTAGATGCAAGGTATGTAGGTTTGTGGATATGTGTGGGGCACATGGGGGAGCATATTCAGTCTTTACTGGTTAATGGAAGCATTCCCCTAATCCTTCATGTTAGTGCTGTTTGCTTTTTATTCCTGCATACAGAAAGTGGTTTGAAATTGAAAGAAAGACTAGGGTTTCAAATTTAGTTAACAGGATTTTGTCTTTATCAGGCAGGTGGATCTAGCTGCCCCCTATGGCCCAGGCATAGAACAAGTTGCAGCTTGTGATGGAAAAATATCTGAAAGGCTTTTCTATTTGTAGTGTGGCAAATCCAGGCTGGCATGGTCCCTGGGGAGTGAGGCCTTGATGTTTGAGCCACTGTGATAGGTGTCTCTTCCAGGTGTCTTGCTTAGAATAAATGAGGGTGACAGTGTGTTTTCCTATGGTTTCTTCACCATTATTCAAGGATTAAGTGCTCAGAGGGTTATTTATCATTAGACATTGAGGTCTCCTGGTCCAGCTGAGCCGCAGCACTCCATCTCACCCCATACCCCATGGCAATTTCCCTACGGTCTGTCCTTCTCACATTGTTCCTGCCAGTCCTGAAGGTTTTGTTTTTCCCATTCCTCCTTAGCCTGTACTCGGGGAACAGCTTCCTTGTTTCCCTCCTTTGTACTCCTCAGTACTGTGGAGTCAAGTCCCAGGACAGCAGAGAAGATAGAGTCCACTTCTATCTCCAGACCCCAAGCACTGTTTCCTCCTAGACCCAGCTGTTACAGTGGCATTTTATTTCTTGAGGGCTTAAAAATTATTTAATGCTACTTACTTCCGGTTAATTGTGATTGTTTTTATTGTTGACCTGATTTCTGTAGGAGGGCTGAAGAGCAGTACTTACTTTCAGAATGGAAATAGCCCAGAAGACTCACACTTGGATTGCTGGCAAGGTCACCTTCAGTGACTGCACTGATGTTAGAGGGGGGTGATGAATGGAGGACTGATGAGGTGAGGCTGTGTGAGGGCAGCGAATAGCCGAACAAGTGAATGATAAACATGCCCTCCTTAACCTGCAGATTCAAAGGGGACACTGTAGGTCATCCCATTATATATTTCACTTCTGTAGCTTCATAACGTAAATTTAGCTGCTGACTTCAGGATTGGGCTGAACAGACCAAATTGCAAGCTGCAAACGTGCTGTTGAAGATCTAGGCACCTCTTCTACTTTGGCATCTGAGTTGGGTCTCTGTCACTTGCAACCTAAGAGTACTGACAAATACTTTGGCCTGAGGGCAAGTGTCAGAAACTCAACTTGAAATAGCTTAGGCTAGAAGGGGCGTGCCTTGCCTTATGTACCCCCTATCCTGTGATAAAAGGGTGTGGCAATAGCAGGGCCTCGGGGATCCCTGGAATCAGCCCCCCTTACCCCATCCCTACCCTGCCCCTGGTTCCCTCTCTCAAACCAGCTAGAACTGGGTTTTGGGCAGCTTCCAGGCTCCTGGTTTCCCAGTTCTCATCCCAAGAGAAAGGTCTGCCTCCCTTCCCCAACTCCAAAAATCCTCTGATGAGGACACAGTTCCACCTCTAAGGGAGCAGCTATTGCCGGAATGACCTGGTTGGAGTGGGTGGGGATGGTAGGAGGAGAGGGCTGGGCCCTGTTGAACAGGCCCATCATGGATCCACTACAGGAGTACCAAGCCACAGTGTTAGGCTAAAGGAAATGGGAGGACTGCCTTCATGTGAGCCAGCACTCCGTCTCTGTTGGACTGGAGACATGAAACATTCTTTTTTTGAATACACAGTGTATGAGTAATGTCCAAATACGATAGTTGGGGCAGCATAATTTCTAGACTTTGTATCCACTCCCTTCTCCTAGGGCATCAGAGTTCACAGAATCTATGTCATTAACATATTTATATATTCCTCATTCTGAATAGTATTCAAGACACTGGATGCCTGGGTAAGGAAAGGGATTCACAAGCCAAATGGCACCACTGCGATCATTGTAAATGACATCTCCAGCATTCTAGAATGTGAGAGTCCAAGTTTTCCTGTTTTGAAACTGAGTCAAAGAACCAATGAAATATATAGTAAGCCAACTTTTGGAAATTCATTCTTTCTAGGGTACCAAGAGGAATTAAATATAACCATGAACAGAACCTGTTCTCTTACTCACTCTAAAGGTATGTTTCATAACCAATTACTTTGTATATGGGCCTCCCTTTTTTTTTTTTTGGAGTCAGCATCTCACTCTGTTGCCCACGCTGGAGTGCAGTGGCATGATCTCGGCTTAGCGCAACCTCTGCCTCCCAGCAATTCTCCTGCCTCAGCCTGCCGAGTAGCTAGGATTACAGGCATCTACCACCATGCCTGGCTAATTTATGTATTTTTTAGTAGAGATGGGATTTCTCCATGTTGACTAGGCTGGTCTTGAACTCCTGACCTCAGGTGATCCACCTGCCTTGGCCTCCCAAAGTGCTTGGCTCACAGGTGTGAGCCACCATGCCCAGCCTTCATTGGATCTTTTTAAGAACGTCACTGAGATATAACTTACTTTCTGTGAAACTCACTGATTTTAGTATACAAGTCAACAACTTTTAGTAAATTATCAGAGTTTTGTAGTCATCACCACCATCTAGTTTTAGAACATTTTTCTCACCCCAGAAAGATCCTTTATGGCATTTGCAGTTACTTCCTGTTAGCATTCCCAGCCCTGGACAACCACCAATCTACTTTTTGTCTCTATAAATTTATTTTTTCTAGACATGTCTTAGAAATGGAATCATGGTCAGGGAGGTGTGGTGGTTCATGCCTCTAGTCCCAGCACTTTGGGAGGTCCAGGCAGGAGGAACATTTGAGGCCAGGAGTTCAAGACCAGCCTGGGCAACACAGTGAGTCCCTGTTTCTACAGAAATACAAAAATTAGCTGGGTGTGGTGATGTGTGCCTGTAGTCCCAGCTACTCAGGAGGCTGAAATGGGAGGATCACCCCAGCCCAGGAGTTTGAGGCTGCAGAGAGCTATGATAGTGCCACTGTACTCCAGCCTGGGTAACAGAGCAAACTCTGTGTCTTTAAAAAAAAAAAAAAAGGAATCATGTTATGTGTGGTCTTTTGTGTCTAACTTTCACTTATCAAAATGTTTTTGAGCTTCATCCATGCTTCACCATGGATCAGCGTTCTATTCCTTTTTCTTGCTGGATAGTATTCCATTATATGGAATTGCCACAGTTTGTTTACCTAGTTGACAGACATTTCTGTTGTTTCACGTTTTCCACAATCATGGATGCTGCTTCTAAAAATATTCAGGCTTCGTGTGGACATATGTTTCCATTTCTCTCATAGGTAGGAATAGCATTGCTGAGTCCTGGGGTAAATTTCTATTTAACTTTGTAAGAAATTGTCACACTGCATTTCACAATGGCTGTACCATTTTACATTTTCACCAATAATGTTTGAGGATTGGATCTCTATCTTTAAACTTGATGGGGTCTTTTGGGTTTCAGGATAGGTGTAAATGAAGGAATGGACTTTGGAGGAAGCTGTGAAGGGGCTTACCTATACATAGTCACTTGGGGTCAGTTGCTGGGCACATGTAAGGCAGTTTTCCTCTTCAGGGGTGAACATGGTAGAGTGTTTAGAAGGTGGTATTGAAATGAACATTGGAACATAAGTAACACAGAACAGGACGAGCATTTTGGAGATCATCTTAAAAATAACTTCAATTTAAGGGATAATTGCATGGAGTTTCTTAGTCCTAGAGTGATTTTTATATTCTAGAGGTAGCTTGTTTTGATTAAGCCATGCTTTTTAAATTGAATGGATTTAGGGCGGGAGGTAACCTTGGGACTTTTCTTTGGGAGGCTTATTGGAGCATGTGAGTAGCAGATTTGACAGACCAGAGAGTAGTGATGCCACAGCCAATTTTGTATCAGTGCCGCTGGCTCTGGCTGATTCATAGACTAAGATCAATCCTGGTTGATGGCAGGTTTTATTCTCAAAGAAGAATGATATATTTGGTTTCCAAGAGGAATGTCATCCCTGAATAAAGACAAGTTGTGAATATAGGAGATGAATTGTCTCAAAGGAGTTTTACTACCTGATCATTATGATAGAGTATCTAAATGACATTTATGGTTTAAAAAGAATGTGCTCATTTATTTTCTTGGAAAAAAGATCTGAGATATTAAAGTATTTTGGAAAGGATTCATTGCCAAGATGACACTATTGTTAGGTCTTTCCCCCGCTAACTTTATCATCTGGGCAGGCTTTCAACTAACCTGTAGCTTAGTTAATTCATAAAAGAAAGTTTGCTAGTTTATTCATTTATAATTTATTTGGTTTGCTGAATAAATAAGGCTTATAAGATAGTAATTATAAAGCAGCTTTGTTTCGTATCCCCCTGTCTGGAAGTTATTTTGTGAGGTTACTATATCCCTTGTCTCTGGATGAAATCTATGATGTTTATTTCTCTTTTTTTTTTTGAGACACAGTTTCACTCTCACCCAGGCTGGAGTGCAGTGGCACGTCTCTATTCACTGCAGCCTCTGCCTCTTGGGTTCGAGTGATTCTTGTGCCTCAACCACCTAATAGTGTGCCACCAGGCCTGTCTCATTTTTGTATTTTTAGTAGAGATGAAGTTTTGCCATGTTGGCCAGGCTGGTCTAGAGCTTCTGACCTCAAGTGATCCACCCAACTCGGCCTTCCAATCCCAGCTACCTGGGAGACAGAGCAAGATCCCATTACAGGCATGAGCCAAATACAGGCATGAGCCAAAATACCTGGCATTTCTTTCTTTTCTTTTCATCTTTTTTTTTTGAGATGGAGTTTCGCTCTGTAGCCATGCTGGAGTACAGTGGCATGATCTTGGCTCATTGCAACCTCCGCCTCCCGGGTTCAAGCCGTTCTCCTGCCTCGGCCTCCCAAGTAGCTGGGACAGCAGGTGTGCACCACAACACCCAGCTAATTTTTGTATTTTTAGTAGAGTAGGGGTTTTACCATGTTGGCCAGGATGGTCTCGATCTCTTGACCTTGTGATTTGCCTACCTCAGCCTCCCAAAGTGCAGGGATTACAGGCGTGAGCCACCACTGTGCCCGGCTTTTTTTTTTTTTTTGTCCTAAATGGGATCTTGCTCTGTCTCCCAGGCTGGAGCATAGTGGCAATTATAGGCCCTTAGCTTCAAACTCCTGGGCTCAAGCGATCCTCTTGCCTTAACCTCCCAAGTGGCTGGGACTGCAGGTGCACACCAAGATACCCAACTAATTTGTTTTTATTTTTGTAGCAATGGGGATCTCACTGTGTTGCCCAGGCTGGTCTCAGGGTCAAGCGATCCTCCCACCTTGGCCTTCCAGGGTGCTGGGATTATAGGCATGCACCACTGCTCCCAGCCTCTATGACTTTTCTTATTGTTAGATTTTTTTTTTTTTTAATTTCTGCAGTCAGTTTCTACTGCTAAATACTCTTAATTCAGAACTTAGAGTGCTCAGTGTCAAATATTAGGTTGCTGCAAAAGTAATTATGGTTTTTTAAATTTTAATGGCAAAAGCCATGATTACTTTTGCACCAATCTAATCACAGTAAAAAGTTGAAATTTGATTTAAAGTTAAATAGCTCTCCGTTTTCTCTTTGTCCCTACTTCACCCTACTACCCCACCTCCCACATCTTCCTGTCCACAGTTTGGGATCCCTCTAGGGACCACTCTATGGTAAAACTGGGGGTAGGGCAGGGGAAGATAAGAAGTTAGAAGGATAAAAATGTTCTTTTTTTTTTTTTTTTTTTGAGACAGTCTTACTCTTCCCGCCCTGGCTGGAGTACAGTGGCACAATCTTGGCTCACCTCAACCTCTACCTCTTAAGTTTAAGCAATTCTTATGCCTCAGCCTCCTGAGTAGCTGGGATTACAGGCACCCACCACCACGCCCGACTGAAAGTTCTTATTTGACTTGGTACGATAGTGCCGTGTTCTGAGTTTGACAGATGTTTGTTTTACTTCTGTGCTATTTCTGGGAATGAATTGTGCCCCTCCACCCCATTTCTGTGTTGAAGTTCTACCCTAGTTTCTCAGAATGTACCTGTATTTAGAGACAGGGCCTTTGTAGGGGTAATTAAGGTAAAATAAGGTCATATGGGTGGACTCTAATCCAATATGCCTGATATCCTCATAAGATGAAGAGATATAGACACACACAGAAGAAGACCATGTGAAAACATAGGGTGAAGACGTCCATCTACATATAGGCCAAGAAGAAAGGCCTCTAGAAGGAAACCGACCCTGTTGCCACCTAGATCTTGGGCTTTACTTCTTGTTGTTTAAGCTACCCAGTCTGCAGTACTTTGCAGTGGCAGCCCTGGCACACCAACAGAGGGGCCCCTTGGAGACCTCCCTCTTCTCGCTCCATTCCTGGACCATCACTGCAGACCGACCCCTCTTCTGCAATTCCCTTGACAAAGGTTGATGTGATTGCCTCCAGTTTGTTGCTTCTCCATCAGGGAATCCACTTCCCTCTGCCCTCTTTGTCTTTCCAATCTACCCTATTACACAGAATCTAAGATGCCTTATTTCCCTGTGTTGTGAGTTGTCTACATCTGCTCCATAGGGAACACATATTTATGCACAAATAAACTCCAGCATTCAGGCAGATAACACAACAGCAACCTCTCCTTCTTTTCCATCCTGGAAACATAGGCCAGTTTCTCTCCATTTTAGATTTTTCAGGTATGGATCAGACACCTGTGCAATCTCTTCAGTCCTGTAAGCTTCTCTCATGAGGTTGAGTAGGTGTGGTAGGAATCACTGCATAGTTCTCTCCACAGGAAGACCCTCCTGCAGTCCGCTCACACTCTGACCCGTTTAGACCTAGGTGTGAGTAAGCGGTTCAGGAACCCTGTTACCAGTTTTCAGTTGAATCCTTTGAAAATTTGCATCTTGGGGCTTAAATGACTGTGTTTGTAGTCATCATTGATTCATTCAGTCAGTGCAAAGTTTCACCAAGTGTTGACTATGAAGAGAGCCTTCCTGAGGCCAGAGGTGAAACCTTGGCCCTGTCTAGGATGGATGTTTTCTTTATTGATGAGCTCCCTGAGTAGAAGGGGATTAAGGTCTCCCGTGAAATAACACAGCAGGCATGTTGATTTTGGGGGGAATCCTTGGCTTGCCCGGTAGTTCTGGAATCAGGCTGAGAAAAT